ATGTAGCGTCCTTCAGTGTGCTGAAACAGCTAGAGGATGGGGTAGTGGTGACAGTTTTGCAAAGTTTATTTAACAAACTGAAGATTTCTGGTTGCCTAGTCAGACGTTTTCAGAAGTTTTGAGCACCTGCAGTGCAAGTCACCTATCCTTAAAGTAGATGCTTTTCTGTCTTAATATGCAGAACTGTTTTAAAGAGAAAGAAAAGCTTCATTCATCTTCTGATACAATTTACTTTTTTGATGGCATCACATGCTTAGTATATAAGTAAGCTCTCTCATTTGTTTAATTTGATCCCAGTGCTACCTTTCATGTTGTTTAAAACAAATTGTGAACTGTAGGAAAAAAGTAAACATTATTTCTCTTACTTTGTGTTTCTGATGATCCTCAGACTCAGTAAATGCTTTGTAAAGCATCATTCAATTCCTAGAGCGTAGCATAGTGTTGTTTCTGTTGTAACTATATGCAGGTTACTTCATCACAGAAATACAGGCTGATCTGTTGAATGGTGTAGTTCAGCCTCAGAAAAACAGACTCCTTCAGCCTGTGCATAAGTGTTTATAATATTTTTACAGAAATGTTTTCTTAATATCTCTGTTGCTTCTATAAAGTGTGATAAAACAGATTAATCACTCATGCAATGTTCTGGATTTCTTCCAGGTCTACAGTGAATACAGAGCCAGTCTTGCATTTGACCTTGTAAGCAGTCGACAGAAAAATGTAAGCCTGAAAACAAAGGCATTTTCTTGTATTAACTAACATAATTATTGTGGAGTGGATATTGGAATAAATATTTAAAGAAATACGTACAGAACTGTTACACTCCTGCAGCACTGAAATTCCACTCTGCTTTTTTTTTTTTTTTTTTTTTTTTAAGAGATAACAGGGATACTGGAATAAGCTGCCCAGAAAGGTTGTGGAGTCTCCACCTCTGGAGATGTTCAAAACCCACCTGTGTGTGTGTGTGTGATATTTTTCTTGTGATTTATATTCTTATTTATTTCTGCAGTTATGCAGGTCAGTTCAGGCTTTATTTAATATATTGTTGAGAATTCTCTTCCAAATACATCTGTAATCAGGGGATGGTTATTAACAACTTTGACATTTTTGAGATACATGGGAAGTAAGCAAGCTTTACAAGATCTTCTTGAGATAAATTTTAAATTACTGGGTTTTTTGCTTTATTTTAACTGTGTTGGATCAAAATAGAGTACTCATTAGGAATTTATATTAATTCTTCACAAACAGCATACACAGATGTATAGGGATGTTTGTACCATGCATGTTACTGTTGTGGCATGGGTGTTTACAGAATGCACAGACTGCGTGTGTTTTTCATTAGTACCGTACCTTTCCTGAATGAGTCTCTTAACTATTAGTGAGTACTCTGGATGAGTGCTCTTTGAAATTAACTTTATAATAACTTACCTAGTTTTCTTGGATATGTTTGATAACTATTGTTAGGAATGCAGTAGTTATACCTCATAAAGAAGTTGGACACCTTCAATTAAAAATCATTATTTATTAATAATTTTTTAATAAAAAACCTCAGTTTATTAGTTATGAAAATGCCATTACTTTTCCTAGGGATCTTTTGCAGAAAATGAGTGCCTATAGGATGCTACCTAACTTTGGCATGATGTTCAATACTGCATGAAAGCTGTCATTGCAAAGTAGTTATGTTTTGAGAGTGCAAGTGTAAACATATTTTCAAAATGATTTTAACACAATTTTCCTGAGGCTAATTGTAGATGTTTGTAGAATGATTTAAAATTGCTACTGTGAGGGATAATTTTAATTTTTTCCCTGTTCTGGGTTGTTCTTTACAGTATTTGAGGACCAAAGTCAAATTAATACAAAAAGGTCTCTTAAGCTAGTAAGAACGTACAGATGAAATATCACAGTGCATTTGGAATCAGTATCCTAATTGCTCTCGATTTAGAGATTTGTATTATACTCCAGTTGCTCTTGATTTAGAGCACTGAAGCTAATCTTACTGGTCATGGTAGCATTATATTTTTGTCTGAGAGTACAGCTATCTGCATTTGAATTTCAAAATGTGAATAGGTACAATTTATACCAGTATAGTGTTTGTTAGAAGAGATTGATTCTTATCTAGAAGGTGTGCCAAGTGAAAATAGGCTCATTCCTTTGCATAAACAGTTCATTATTCTTCCTTTTTTTTTTCCTAGGCATATACAGATTATAGCGATTCAGTTTCCAGAAGAATGGGTTTCATTCCTCTTCCACTGGCTGTTTTAGTAAGTTGTATCTTTTCTAACAGTTTTCTGTCAATCAGATCTCAACGTTGAGAATATATGCTTGTGAGGTAGCTAACTCATTTTGATGTTTTGAGGATGAAATGATCACCTTAAGTAACTGAAATGATGCTGCAAATTTGAGTTAGCATTCAGTATAACTCATATCGCATACTAATTATGACTTTATGAATGTGTTACTGTTTATCAGCCTTTCATAGACAATCAAATATATATTAATTTTATAGAATTTATAAGCACTTGAGTTGTAGCAGCGGAATTAAACTACATTTGTGCTTATTAAACTTTGATTCCTTTTGGCAATTATCCTGTTCTTTCATTCAGAATAGTCAAAGCAGCTGGTTGCCAGAAGGTTAGCGGTAGTGTACTTGTTAAGTTTTTCATAGGAGTCCTTGTGGTTGTCCCTGTAATGATATACTTAATGACTAAGTTTTCTTTTATATGGGGCACTGAGCTTCTGAGCTGTTGCAGAATACGTGATTCTGAAGTAGTTGACCCTGTTACCTGGACATGCTGCTATAAAATGAGTCACTTCATTATTGAAATTGTGTCCACATGCTGTCTGTTCTGAATTAAGTGTTGCAGAACGTTTTCGGTAAAAAGCTGCTCTGACTTTCCCTGTACACACATGTAGACAAGCAGAAGTTATTATAATACTGAGAATATGTCCTTGCTTTGCCAGCAGAGATGCTAATTCATAATTTTCCTGAAAGAATATCAATATGAATTAACTTTTAAATGTAATGTTCTCCCATAGAGATGGAGAAAAATATTATTGACAGGCTTTACCTACTTTTATGCAGGATTAAAAAAAAAAATTCCAAAACAACTATAATCATAGTCATTATTTCTTTTATAGCTAAGGAAAATACATCTAGTAAGAATTTGACTGAACTTTTTTCAAGTTAATCATGTTCTGATATCCTGGATAGTAGGATGTTTAAAACAAACTGAAGTGCTTTGCTAACTTTAACTGTGAGATACTGAGGTAAAATTGAGATTTCAAGATCACTTGTTACTTAAACTTGGTATTCATATGCCTCGTCCACAAAGGGATTTTGTATTCCAAATGAGCATAGTGCGAAACACTGATTCTGTTTTACTGCATCAGCATCTCTTGACATTTTCCTCAAAAATTGTTAACTCAGCTTCCAGCCCTTGACTTTTGGGGAGGTTTTTTTTGCTTTTTATTTTACTCAGAAGTCAGCAGTGAAGGAAACGTTATCAGACTGTAGTTTTGGCAAAGTTGCAACTAGATGCTAGTATAATACTTAATCAAACCAAAATCTTGAATAGTTAGCACTATGAAGGCGGACATTAGAATAAATTACTGTTAATGTAAATGTTTCTACTTTTGTCTTTTATTTACCAGATAAGAAATGTCTTTCAAAATATTCTATTAACAATTGTGTGCTATATGTTTCAACTGTTTAATTTTTATCTCTCAAACAGCTCATGAGGGTCGTAACAAGCTCAATCAAAGTACAAGGAGTCTTAGCTTATGTTTGTGTTGTGCTTTTCTACTGTGGGTAAGTAAATGCACACAACTGAAAAGTATTTCCTGTTATTTAATCAGATATGTGAAAAAAGCTTCTGTTTATACTGCTAGGTGTAAGTGTAAACACAATTTATGTTCAGTAGAACATAAATATAAAACACTTATGCCCATGAACTGAAATTCAGCTTGCGGATTGGTCCCTAAGTACTGTAACTGCATTGGGGGATTATAGCCCTCAATGAGTAACTTCAGTAATTAAAATAACTAATGGAAAAATGATTGAAAGAATTTATGACAGTCAAGCAAAGTAACTGCATAAAAGGGGAAATTGAATTCTCTAAGGCATGAAACTTTTTGTGGAAAGAACCAAAGATTCAATATGCCAACAAAAGTAAGCAATTTCAGTGCTCTGAGCAGAATTCCCCTCTCTGGTAGTTAAAGGCAAAGTTTCTTCGTGTCAGGAAACTGCTATATGGAGAAAAAAAAGTAAATACAAGGCTCAACTTTCTAAGAAGGGTGGGTTCAGTAAGTAATCTTAGTTAAGGAATCTTATGTCCTGTGGCAATTTGTTTTCCAAAAGCAATGATTTGCAAGTATCCCTTCACTGCCAAGTCAGTTCATACTGGTGTTACACTTCTCACCAATCGCTGAGATAGGTTTAGTTGTATTTTGAATCCAATCTAGTTTGCCTGTCTTGAGACACTTGCTGTAGACTAAATGGAGATTACCAGTTTCTAGGAAAGCTGGATACTGAACTGTGTCAGCGTTTGTTGTCCTTCAGTACTGATTGATTTTGGAATCCTCCTAAAATTGGTCGTAAAGAATTGATTCAAACTGCTGCAGAACAGAGAACCTGCCTACAGTGTTGTGGGAATCTCTCTTTCAATGCCCTACCAAGTTGTGCTTGTAACTGAAGGCAGCAAGACTTGGTCAGTAAAAGACTTCTAGGTCTGAGGCAGTGGTTCATCAGGTACACTGGAAAAGAGGAGATTGCTGGTTTACAATCCTTCATGAAAAGAATGGGATTACTATACATTTTTTATGAATAAGTAGACTCTTATCTCTATTCTGACCTTGATCTGCAAAGAAGGTAGAACTGGGTCAGGCATGCCTAGTTCACATCAATGTAGAGGCACGTCTCTTCAGTGTCAGATAACTAGGACTTTAAGATACTGCATATAGGCCAAGGATTAAATTCTTAGCCATATTCCTCTGCACTATACTTGGATTTCTTCCCCAGCGTACTACGTACTGTGCCCATGTTCTCCCTAAAGCCACCTCTAAGTAATTGAAAGCTTCAAGCTGTGGTATACCAAGCTCAGCACCTTCATTCTGCTCAGTGGTTTTTCTTTTTTCCCAATGTATGTAAGATGACTCTACATGTGCCATTCCACTGCTGCAGCCCAGTCCTGGATTTTTCCCTGTCTCTGTGGCTTGGAGGATGGAGGGCAGGAAGAAGTAATGTGATTAACATGAAAGCTTAAATGCTCCTCTTTGAAGGCATAAGTCACAAGAGTAAATACACTTTGGTTTTTGTCCTTATTGAAAAGTGAGAACAGATTTTTACTTCTGCCATAATCTCAGATTTGGAGCTAACGCACCTCTTGCATCTTTCAAGTAATTTGTCTTCTAAACATAAATTTCAGCTTTTCATCAGATTAGCGTAGCATAGATAAGTGAGAAACAATGTGATAAAATCAGAAACAGTTAACTGAGCAAAGGATTGAGACTATAATGTGGAGAACATTTTTTTAATATTTATATTTAACAACTGTAATACTGTAAGTTATACTACTAAAGAGTCTTGTCCAGCATGTGAAACATGAGTTTTCTTTTTCTAGGATCTTGAACAACTACAAATTTACATTGTTATTAGAAATTTGAGCCTGGGGTGGACTGGCAGAAAAGAACAAAGGAGAATCACTAGAAACTCTTGCGTAATTTTCCATGAGAAGCTGGAACTGATACAGTGAAGTGGTGATTTATAGACTTTTCAACTTCTGATGTCATTAAATCAGAATCAAATCATGCTGTAAACACCTGCTCTCTCAGAACAAAAGCATGTTATGTAAAAAATGTAGGAAAAAACCTCTAAAACTTTCTAAAAATGGAGGAGAGCTTCTCAACTCTCAGAAACAAAATGTGTCCTGATAACCTAATAGAATTGTAGAGAATCACAGCTTTCAACTTGTATAAAATGATATCTTCTTAGTGGTTGCTTGGATACTGAAATGTCAGTTTCTTCTACAAGGAAATATATTGCATAAAATTCCCTTAAAACTGCAGTGTACTTTGTTTTTCTGTTTGACAAGTTCTGATTACATTAATTCAGTGAGAGGTAGTGAAGCTGCTGCTAAAGTGTGCTTTGGTCACTTCATGATTAAGCAATTAGACCCACTCCATGGATTTGTGCTTGTTCACTTCAAGTCTTCCTTTTAGTCTGTTAGTGATGTATGTAATAAACAAATTTTCAGAGTGGAGAATTAATTTAGAGTTTGCATTTGGTTCAGTTCACTTTTGTTATATAGGTTGATTTGCATAGAGAATATTTATATTCATCCTACAGAGAACAGATCACTATTTCCTTGTTGTTCTGCAGTGAGTCTTCACCTGTGTTTTCTCCTCTGGAGTGGACATTGGTCTGTGTGTCATGTAATACTAGTAATGGAACTTGGATTTTACAAAGCTCATTTAAGCTGTAAATCTAAAAGCACTTGATGGTAGATGAGACCTTCCTGTTCTTCAAATGAGAAGACAGGTATAAAAGGGACTTCAATGATTTGCTGAAGTTTGTGCTGCAGATTAGTGATAATAAAAAAGGAATCTGCCATGAACAGGTCTGTGCTATGATGGCAATGCAGTGCTGCCTTTTTGGATTTGTTGAATTTTATGGACTGTCTTTTGTGATGTGAAAAAGGACTTTTTATGCTTAGCCTGTAATTTGTGAAAGCTAGATATTTGCTTTCTTGTGGTTCAAAGTCCACTAGTAATCCTTGGCTGGGCACACTTAAGGCTGCAGTTTTAACAGTAGTGCATTTAATTTGTACTTGCACTGTTGAGGGCCCTTTTTAGTTCTGTGTTTAAATATTTGATGTATTAAATGGCTGCTTAACTGTCCTTGTAGTCCTTTTGCTAAACTACAATAAAACTTAGTTTTTCTCTAGATGCCTCCTGAAAAAAAAAAATTTAAAAAAGTAAGCATTGAATCTGAAACAAATCGTTAGGAAAAGGAAATTAGCTTTTGATCTTGCTATTGAAGGGATTTACTTTGTTAGCTAATCCTTCCAAGACAGCAGTAACCCTATGCAATTATTTTAATATGCTAATGCAAATATGTAAACAAATCCTTTTCTTTTTTCAGGTTAATATCTTTAAAAGTCCTTAACAGTATTGTATTACTGGGAAAATCATGTCAATATGTAAAGGAGGCAAAAATGGAGGAGAAGTTATTCAATCCTGTCCTGACTGCCACCCCAGGGAAGCCGGCTGGCAGACAGCAAAGCACGTTTAAATCCACCCAAGGTAAGGCTACCTGCCTTGTTTTGTTTTCAACTGTAATGAAAATTACTTTCACACTAAATTTAATATTAAACCAGATGTACGACATCGCTGCACAATAACCCTGTTGCTGGACCTTAATGGTACCGTATCACAGCTGTGAACACAAGTCTGTAAATGTAACAGAATTTATTGCTTTTAGTTCATGCATCTTCTTCTGGTTATTAATAGTCATCTCTGATTATTCCACCCTGATATGTGAAGGTGATAGAAACATCAGAACAGTAGCAGTGATAGAGTGGTTTGGGTTGAAAGGGACCTTTAAAGATCATCTAGTCCAACTGCCTCTGCCATGTCACTACACAAAGAAGTAAATATTTACACATCATCTCTGCTAGTGCTGAAGTTTAATAAGGAAGCAATCTATGCATTTCTTATGGAAATTAATGTAAAACATGGCACACAGTAGATATAATTACTTGTAGTTGTCATTAACACATTAATGAAAAGCTACAAAATCCAAATAAGGATTTCAGCTGATCTCTACTCGCTTCATTTCAAGCCTCTGCAGCGTGGTTTTCTCATGCAGGTCCTCAGCATTAGTGATTGATATATAATTGGAATGGGGCATTATTATATTCCTGTGGCACGTTATAGAAGGAAACAGAAACCTTCATTGTTGCAGTCAACTGAATTCGATTGTGTATCTGCCTCTGTGAAGAGCCCACTGAGAGCTCTAGAGATCTTAGCAGTGAGGCTTTTATTGTGTTCACTCTCTTGCTTGCCAAAGAATTGAACAGCTTGAAATGTAAGGTGCTTATTAGTCATCATAGTGTCTCGCCAGCAGTAGTAGAGTTAAGAACACGTCGGTGTTTCAGTCATAAATCTCTGTATCTCACCTGTGTCCAATCTCACCAGGCAGAAACTTAGTGCAGCCGTTTATTTTTAAATAGCTTAAATTCAGAGTTGTTTTCATTTCATGATGAATGAATGTTAATATGAATTGATCTGAATGTCTCTTGCATGTCATTAGACAATTATCATAACGATAATGTTTTAATTTAAACATTCTACTACCACACTTGGATATGAGACTTCATAAGTCATACTTGCTTAGATTGACCCTTAAACACACAGTAAATAAATCCTGAAGACTATTTTTAGCTGAAGCAGCAGCAGTTTTACCAGGTCAGTCAGCAGAGATGCTTACTTCCTCAGATAGAAACATTTTGATTGAAAAGTACCTGCCAAAGAGCTTTTGCTGATTTTATTTAGGATATTCCATTGGTGATGAAAAAGCTCAATTTTTAACAGTTTTTCAGGGTTTTTTATACCTTTTAACAGCTCTTTATTTACTAGAAACCTCAATTATGTGAAAGAATGAGTTTACCTTCCCCAGCTTCAGTGTCTGCATTATTACTGCTGGGCTCTGCAATATTGGTTAATCCCTGTGCCCCACTTACCAGGGTTTTTTTTATACAGTCTCTCATCCCATCTCTTACTAGAATAAGGATGAGGGAATTAATCTGGTCTACTTTCTATCAGCTTATAATGTAAGTCAGTTTATTTTCCTAAGAATTTCCACCTTGTCCACAGAAACAATTTAAAATTTTTGAAGGTTAAAATTTTGTACTTGCTCTTGAAGAACAGAAGTTCTAATTACTGATAGTCATTTATAGGCTGACCAGCTTTCTCTGGAAGCAGCTGGGTTAGAAAATACTCACCTTTGTAACAAAGTTCTACAATTAGCATTACTCATCTCCTTTCTTGATGCAATTTTAGTACCTTTGACTTGCATAAGACTATAGAGAGTAATCCTTGTACCTTCAAGTAGTAGATGGTGTACTGTGAAGAGGTGCGATGCAGAAGGAAGTTCTAGTAGTAATGTGGATAGTGCTGCCATTCTGACAAATACTGTTCCCTTGGGCTGATCTGCACACTAGTCACATTTTTGTTTCAGGTCCCTGTAGAAACAATAACTCAGCCTTTATGAGGAGATAGTGAATAAGAAAAAATTATTTCCTTGTTATTTGCTTCTGCATTTTTTTTTTTTATAAAAATGTGGAAACAATACGTGGATATTACTTACAAATACCTTAGGTTAATGGAGCCACTATTCAATTCCACTGAAGAGACAGGAGTAAAAATAGACATCATTAATAGAACTGCTTTAGGACCTAGTGCTATTAAAGCGTGTAGCAGTGCATGAGTCATTTATTAGCAATTCCTAGAGAAGCCAGGTTTATTGTACATATGGAGAGAATTAGGCACATCTAATTCCTGCTACAGAGATTCCTTTTCTTTATTTCACTAGAAAATATTTGTGTGAGTCACACAATGACTGTCATAAATCTTTGCCTAAGCCAACAAAAATATGTATGTAAACCAGAAGAATGAAGTGTATGTCCTGACACTTGCTGCTTGTATTCTTGCTGCTTGTGCTCTGAACTTCTGTGGAATTAATTTTCTGTCCTTCTACCAAATAAGAAAAGGAAATCTCTTATGGTAAAACTAAGAGGAGGTAATGGCTTCCGCTGATTTGGTGCAGCAGCACACTTTTTCAGGGCAGCTTTAGCTGGATCTGGATGTTACGGATGTATCAGCATGTCTGTGTTAAATTTGTTATTGTCTTTGTAATTGTCTTGTGTTCCAACAGGAATTTCCACAGATGAAAATGGATCTACATCAGTTACCAATCAGCCTGTGCATCAGAAGGAGAATACGCCATCTTTACTTGTAACAAGCAGTTCTGATCAATTTCTGACAACCCCTGATGGAGAAGAAAAAGATATAAGCCAAGACAGTTCAGAATTAAAACACAGGTCTTCAAAGAAAGACTTGCTAGAGATAGACAGGTTTACTATTTGTGGAAACAGAATTGACTAAGTTGTTTGGGGGTTTTTTTGGTTTTGTTTTGTTTTGTTTTTTTTTAAAATCAATGTGCTAAGGATACTGGGCTGTTGGGACAGCAGATGCTACCGGAATGGACAGTTGCCAAAAATGGCACATAAATATTTATTTAAAAACTTAAATTATTAATGGCAAAAAATATTAATTTCTTTCTACAAGTAACTTGGCTTGGTATCTGGTCAGGTCAAGTAAGTGATCTTGCCTCCTGGAAAATGTGGTGGATCGTGAGTCTCTAGCCTGGTGGCAGAGCTGCAGTGTCACTTTGCTGGACAATAGACTGGGGAAAAAAGCATAATCCTGTTCTGCATTACGAAGCCATGCTTCCAGAACATACTACTTTTCATGAAGTTTCCTCCAGTGTAAGGATATTCCTGGAAATGTATGACAACTTGACCAGAAGCTGCCTTTTCCAGTTACCTTGTTTTATTAAACATCTGCAAGCAGAATTCAAAACTTGTGCTTATATCAACAAACGCATAAAGCATTGGTACATAAAACAGTAAGTCAAGGTAGTTATCAACAAAAATCTTTTCAAGATGTATCTTGAAAATCTTGTAATCAGAATAAAATTTTGCATTTAAATGAAAGACTTACTGCATACTATTTTATCTAAATACTAAACACCAGGGAAACATCACAGTAATGAAGGTTCTGCTTAACGGGCAAATAAGAAGCATATTTATTTCTTGTGTTAAGTTTCGTGTCCTGCAAGGCAGAGTATTTATAAAATTATTTTAAAAGCTGAGGATTTTTTGTTGCTGTAGGAAAAAATAATAAAGGGCCTCTTCTATTTCTTGAGGAAAGCCAGTGTTAATTGCAGCAAGCAGCTGTTGTGTTGGAACTGTATATATGGCTTTAACACAGCAGAAAAGAATATTACACTGCATTTTGGGTTTAACTCTGATAAGAATGACATCTGTGTATTAACTTGCTGGAGAACATGCCTATAAAAGCTCATACTGACAGTCAAATCAGAATTATCCATTTTAGTTAATTTGGTTTAGCCAAACTTAAGTAGATGAACTCTATCTATAAAGAGCATTTAAGCATTACAATGCATCTTTATTTCTAGTGTGAGACGCAGTTGTGGGAGAATTGGTGAAAGATGGTTTGGAATCCTCAGACCAAGAATGGAATAAATTTGAGCTCAAAAGTTATGCTGGAGACTTGTATCAGAAGAGACCCTTTAGTTAATGGTAAATTCTTCATATAATGTTAAAAGACAGCATTAACTTCAAATGCCTTTCAGATATTTAAGTAAGCACTAGTTTCATTTTCCAAGGGAAGGTGTCATAGAAGTACTTCAGTGCTGAACAAATTAAGACAAAATTTGCTCTTTGCTAATTTCATAATTTGTCAGAGTGGGAATGCCAGAGTATGTGAAAGTTTAATGTATATGCTAATCCCTGAAACTTGCAGGACTACAGTGATATAGCAAATGGAAACAGTTGGACAGAGTTATCACATATCTGAGCAGACTTGGTAATGAGATGGCTTTGCCGTACAAGTTAGTGTGGTCTGCTCTGGTGGGCACTTCTTGCTGCAGTGTTTCAGCCTCTCCTCTCCCATCAAAAGTAACTGGAGTAATGGCCAAAATCTATGGTTACTGTGCAGGGATGAAAGCAAAAAGAGGAGGACTTGTGCTGGGGGAAAATCTGAAATCCTTTATTTTTTGATGTATTTTATACTAATTGGAGATGTTCACACATTGAAATTCAGATTATCTGTCAATTTGCTGTATCTTATTTTTGAATTATTTAGCAGTTGCTAAAGGAGGCTTGGAATTGCTTTCATTTTTTTTTTCTGTTGAATGACATTGTATCAATTTTATAAGTGCATCTTGTGTGAAACAATAAAATTCAATTTTGTAATATTTGTTTAAAAAAGGAAAAGTGCAGCGTCAACATTTCTTTCTTAGGATTCAGAGTTGGTGAACTTCCAGTGCATTTACTGTATTAAGTTCCTATTCCCATAAAGTAAAATTCTTGCAAGTGTGAGGCACGAATGTGCATAAGAACTGGCTTATCAGTGGCTTTACTTTGGATTTATTTCTGTACCAGTTGGTTGTTGCCACTTGTAGGAAGAAGGTATTGATGCCCACCTACTATTTGTTTTTTAAAGGCAAAACCCATGCAAATGAAAAAACACTTTGTCTTAAAGGAGGCGTAAATTTTGTAGTTGGTTACTACAGTTGGACTAGTTACACCTACACAGCAAAGCCAAGGGTAGCTGGGGAAATCCTTCACTGAGCACGTGGCAGTAACGGTGAAAGGGTAATGGCTAACTGCTCTTAAGTCCAATTCCCGTCCCAGATCCTCATCTTGAGGCTGGGAGCCTTTGTTGCTTTGTTTTTACACTTAAATTGTGGTAACTAGATCTACAGCATATAGTTGGGCTTTGGGATATGGCTCTTCCATCAGTTTGTTCAGAGGCATAACTGTGTTGATCACAGTAATTCAGAGGTACACTTGAGGCACTGGTTTTAGAGGACATTGCAAATGCAACACTTTCCCTCAAACACTCTGAAAGTCTGGTAGGGGCCTAAGTGGGCATGAAACTTCATTGTTTTCTCTTGTTCCAAGCTCTCCAATTGTTCTCATGTTCTCATTCATGATTAATACGGATTCCTTGAATATCTATCACTACATCTTTAAAGAAAGGACCCTGGGTGGTTCTTTCAGAACTCTAGGAGTGACTGAGAAAGAACAAACCACAAAATAAAACAAAAAAGCCCAGCAACACCGAATTTCTAGTCTATAATTGCAATTCTTTATTTCTTTAGCTTTTCTTGAAAAGTTCTTGTCTTAACAGTGAAATAAATAAGGGCACCAGTGTATAAATTGAGTTCTTCAATTCATAAATCCCACCAAAAATAAAATCTAGACAGTTCTGTTGTGAGCAGTGATATTTCAACTAAAGTCACAGTTGCCAAATTAATTCCAAAAGCACACACTGAGTACAGTGTATATTCATAATTAGTATTATTCATTATAGGAGCATTAAGGAACAACCGTGTTTTCCATAGGATTATTTAATTAATCTTTTGAAGCTTTCAGATGTTCATCAGCAGAGCAGAATTTGCCCTCAAGCAAAGTAGTTTTGCAATCACAAGTATGCTGTTAATTTACTTGCCTCTTAATTTAGAGTGAGTTCGTTAAAACTTTTCACCTTTGTCTTGTTTCTATAGTGTAAAATTTTTATATTCTAAATATTAATTTAGAAGTCAGTTTTTGTAAATGAGCATAGTTCTGAAGGTCACTTGAGTCAGTACTTGCTCGGTTGTGGCTGCCACGACAGCTCAGCTGTTGGGCTACAATTCTGAATTTCTTTTGGTGTTAAGCAAGGATGAATGCAACTTTATTACAGCACAAATGTAATCAAACTCTGTTAAACTCCTGAAACATTGCAACATTTCTGTCTTACAAACTGGCCTACTCCATTGTGAGTAAACTAGGAGTTGTACCAGCTGTGTTAGTCTTGGGTAGTCATGGCTTCAGAAATGCTCTTCAGAATTACCCAACAAAGTTTTTTCTTAAATCATCTGCAGAGTAATTGCTCTTTCTTAGAAATTTGGCCCATGTTAATTTTGCTGACTCCAAGGAAGTGGATAGTTCTGTGTAAGTACAAAGCAGAGGGCAAAGGGGGCTGTAACAAACCCTGTGAAAGCGCTACAACAGGACCATCGTCATCTCAATGAAGTTCTGCATATAGTGGTGTGAGATGCTTAGACTATGAAGTTGTCAGAAACACCTAAGGCATCATTTCTGTATGTCTCTTTCTCTAGGAGAATGGTATCTTTCATCAGCCATGCCAGCTAAGCCTGAGCCTTGCTAGACTTTTTTTAGGACTTCAGTATCTGTTATACTCTGATTCAGAAAAAAACACTGCCAACAGAGGAGTTGTAAGATGGATCATTAATATATAATACAAAAGAACACTTCAGCAAGCTTGCAGCTCTAATACAGAAAAATACAAAATTACAATAGGTTTTTTAAATATTTCTGTTTTGCCCAAAACACTTATTACCACGTTTGTGATGAAATAAGGAAGGATTTTAGAATCTGATCTTATTGTAAATATACTGCCCGCCTGTACCTCACAGCTACCATTCTAGGCTGTGTAGACTGTGTTTCTTCCATTTGTTTACTACTTTGAGGTAAATGTTGTCAAACAGAGCCAAGGTTTCACTTCTAACTGGAGGTAGCTCTGTCTTACAGCTGAACTATAGAAAGTGTTGAGCATCTGGGAGAGAGAGAGGAGTCAACTCTGTGAGCACAAGTCTGTGGGCTGCAGCAGTACTGCCTTGGGTTCTGATTTTTTTTTAGGGTGAATTTGGTGCAGTTCTGTTGTAAACTTTGCTAAATAAATCCTGTACTGAATAGGCAAACACATTGCATGTGTTACACACTATTGTTTTTACTACTTTCATGGTTTTATATCAGAAATTACTTCTTAATCTTAGATTGGTGATAATGAGAGTGATGTTGCAAGGTAAGTGTATTTTTAATAGAGGAATTTTTGGTGTTCGAGGAAGGCTCAGGTTTTGTGTTGTTGCTTCTTCCCATCCAGTGCTTAGTTACAAAAGCAGTAATAAGTTTCTTTGTATGTTGACTACTTTGAATATCAGAAAGACTCTATTCCTGTGATGCCCAGTCCTGACAGATGTTGAGTTCCTGTTGAAAATAAATTAAGTATCAAGGTAGCTCAGGAATCACTTGTTTCCTGACAGTTTAAAATAGATGATTCAGAGCAGTGGAGTTGTGGAGTCTTAGAAAGTGTTACCTCTGGTTTACTGAAACGTGGCAATGAAACTACAAATCCAGCACTGGACAGCACACTCTCAGGCTCAGTACACCAAATGAAAACAGGAAGGTATTTGAGCTGATGCTAGGAAGTGCTTAATTAAATTAAAATTAATTAATATATTAATAATTAATTTAATAATTCTATATGTTGATAAATTAATTAATAATTAA